TCGTCTTAGAACTGAGAAATAAGGTAATACCTGAACCAGCAGAAACTCTCTGGTATATATCTTGTGATCAGACAATAAAATTGCTTCTGTCAATCTGCCTGGTTTTGCTCCTCTTCATGAGAACCTGTCTGAACCACAACATAACTGTCTTGCAGGTCCCAATTCGTTCTGATCGAAGAGGAGAAGAGGACACACAGAGGATCTCACAGTCGTTAATGGCTTAATGTTCTGCTGCTTCTTCCAGACACGGTTAGGTAACAGGTGGTCGTGTTGCCTATAAGCACGGCTGAAATAGCAGAAGCTTTTTGGATTTTACTCTGCTATGGAGACAGTAATAGCCTTTCTATCAGAATGACCAGTTTTCCTTCTCAGAGCATCATTTTGTGGTCCAAGATAATTTTCCATTTTAATAAAGCAATTAAACCAGAATATTTGCGTATTTAAAGTAAAAGAAATCAATTCCAAATGTAGCGCAACATATAATCATCCCCAAAGTAACTGCTGTATATTTTCCTTTGACAGAAAAGAGAGTGCAGCATTTTTAATTCCCAAAAATTTCCTGTATAGTCACCCGGTATAACATTGAAAGAGCCACAAATAGAATCATAGAATCATAGAATAGTTTGGGTTGGAAGGGACCTCAAAGATCACCTAGTTCCAACCCCCCTGCCATGGGCAGGGACACCCTCCACTAGACCAGGTTGCCCAAAGCCTCATCGCACCTGGCCTCGAACACTGCCAGGGATGGGGCAAATACTTGTCACAAAGGTAGAAAACTAAGTTTTGAAGCAGGACTTACCGGTGAGCAGAGTGAGCTTGGCCATCTTTGACCAGAACTGATCTGGTGCAGGCTGTTTCCCACTTTTATACACTTGTTTCATGCCAGTCTTGTGTCAACAAAGACGGACAAACATTACGAAAGTCGGTAAAGACCAGTATCACAAAAAAATGATACCAGTACAATGGGCCTTAACACTCCAGCTGGAGACACCAGTATATCAGGCTGTGCCATGTCATGGTGCTGCAAGAGTAGCTGAAGAACAAGATTAGATGGCTTTTGTTCCTATACATTTATTTCCAGCGCCAGGCTTTGTACCAGCGCTGGCGATTACACAGTGGTAGGTGGCTGAAGTGTTCACCTTGCGCAGTCATGGAGTCTGCCCGGAGGTGGTGGGCACTGCCAAGCCAAAGGTGGTTTGGCCTCCTTGGCTGGGGCAGTCAGCGAGGCAGGACTGGGTAGGGCTTAGGATCCCAGTAACGGGCTTTTTGGGGGACACAGGAACTGGGCTCGCTTGGGGTAGGCAAACTGTCTGTCGGGGTCCATGGGGCTTTGTGATCCGAGCTGTCTCTTGCCCACACCAGCTGAGCTTGTTGTCCCTTAGGGAAGCAGAGAGGATTTCCCAGTGTCCTACAACAAAGTGAATCAGAATCAGCTTCTGCTGAGTTGTTGTCCCACTTGTTCTTGGCAACTATTCTCACCATGAAATCAGAAAAAGAAGGTGAGACGGATGCTTTAAGACATGCCTTAAAGAATTAGTGTACTGCTGGCCCAGAGAGTGGATACTTAGCAGCCTAGCAAACAAATGTGACAGTGTCTTGCCAAGATAATTTTCTTTAGGCAGAAGCATTATTTTTCGGAAGTTGAGCTCTATGAGAGAGAGCCCAAGGACAGAGCATCATGCAAGTTGCATTTCCTCTCACACTTATTCCCTCCTCTTTTTGTTCAGCTTTTTCCCACACTGAGAGACCTCTGTGTTGCCAAGCATTTGTTTCTTGCCTTAGGTTTCTGTGAAACTCCACAGAGTGAAATTATCCAAATGTCCTTTATTCTATATGAGCTTGTCAGCGGTCGTTGTTGTGAAAGGCTCTTTTTAAAAAGCGTTGTGTCTGTTTTAGTTTAAATGTCTCACTTTGATGCTTTCAGGATGCAATGTCTTTCTTCTAAGCCTCTCTGAATGGAATTTCTTAAAAGGCAGTTACAGCTGCTGAAAATGATGTTTTTATCTCAAAATATTCTTTCTTCATCTTTGTTTCATCTTCAGTCCAGGTGGACACTCAAAGCTATTACTGTGTTCAAAGAGAATGTGGTTCCTTTCCCTTGGCACACTAGGCACTGCCAGGGATAGTGCAGATGTTGGAGTGAGACACAGCGGGCACACGGGCAGTCGCTCTGCACGGAGGTGTTGCTGGATTCCTGCTAAGATGATGTGAAGGTGAATTTCCAGTAGGTTGCCCAGACTTGGTTGAATGGGAGCCTGGAAAACAGCCTCAGAGTTGCCCATATCACATGCTGGCACTGAAGTCACCGTCTTGCAGATTAAAATGCATTCGACTGACCCTTCGGGTTTTGTGCATGCCCTGGCTGAGATATGGCAGATAACGAAAGAGACAACCATCTTCAAGGAGGATTTTTCCAGTGTGTTTCTTGGTTGATAAAGTAACACAGTACAAACTCAACTGGATTCGGAAAATCCCGCCCTCAGTGACCTCTAGAGCCTTGCAGGTCTGTTATCTGTAGAAGTGTGTTTCAGTGTGAAAAGGAAAGCATTTGGGAAGGATCAAGGATGCTAATTTCCTGTAGCTGAAGTGCTGCGTTTCAGAGAAATCCACCAAACTGGCTGGTTTCTGCTTTAGCTTCACTCCATGCACTGACTAAAATGGTCACTGTGTTGGTTCTGTGACTATGGCAGGACCAAGCGTGTCTGCCCCTCCAATGCCAGGGCTCTTTTCCGATGGGTCATGGAAAGGAGACCCTGATTTTCACGTGGTCTGCAGCTGAGCAGTGCCCAGGTGTTCCTTCCCTGGTGTGGAGCTCCAGGACGGTTCCTTAAGCTTTCTCATCTTTTCAGACCCAGATGTTTGTCGGTCAGACACGGTGCTTGCACAACCTTCTCTTGTGAGATGTGTCTGACGCTCAGCAAACTCTCTGAAAACTGCTGTTTTCCCCAAAAACCTTAGCAATCCTGGCCTTGCTAACCTCGGTGTACACAAGACTCTGCTTTCCAGAGGTCGACCTTTCCAGAGGTCTCCTGCTATGGAGATTAGGCAGGTTGCTGTGGAAGGCTACGCTGGGGAGAAACGTAAAGGTCAATGCAACGGTGCTGTGTGTTTTGGAGAGCCCTATGCCACCCTATCTGGGTGCAGAGGTTGCCTGTCTGTTGCCAGAACGGTGCTCCTTAGCATGCAGTGGTGTTCTGGGAAATTCCTTCAGAATTTTCCTATGGGAATTCCTAGATTTATCTGCATATACTTAGATATGTACAGCCTATATCGCCAGAGCTCGTAGGAGTCATCAGGCCCGAGGCCAAGTACAGGGATTTACCTGCTGCTAGGCAATGTGTGCAGAGATTTATGGCTCCCCTGTGCTCTGAGATGTGTCCTACAGCCACAAGCACCTAAAACCCTACTGCTTTTCCAGCTCTCTCTACTTCCCAGTCTGTTCCTGAAAAAATGATTCACAACCAGTGAAGGTGAGGACAGGAAGCTGGAGCAGCTGATGTGTGCAGGTGACAGAAGATTCTTAAGCAACTTTTTTGCCCTTCTGCGTGTTGGCAGGAGCTGTACTGAAAGCTGAGCATGCCAAAGTGCAGTGGGGGCTGGCACTTGCCCTTGGGCAGGTCCCCATAGGGCTGCTGGTTCATTTCAGTTCTGCTTCTCAGTGGGGTCTGAAGTGATCCATGGAGCTGGAGTGCTGTGCACGAGCGAACTGCACCCCCAGCACGTGATTGAAACTGATAGTCTGTGGTGGGAGCAGCCCATAAATTCTTGCACGGCAGTGGCTCTGCTGCTTTGAGACACTTTTCTTACCTGTGGGTCTGGTAAGAAACATTGGGCTGCTCTTGTTCCTATCACAAAGCCTTTCTTCTTCCATGGTTTCTCTTCCAGGGAGTATCTGAGGCTGATTCCCTGTCGTTTAAAAGTGGAATACTCTTGTGGACATTTTTAAGACACCATTTGCATCAGGGGAAGGGTAGAAGTGCCTGAGCAGCAGAAGAGATCACTCCCACTCATTTCTCTTCTTTAAGCAGATGCTTTTTAAATGAACCTTGGTTGGGAGAGGAGGAACAGTTTTGTGATTCTGCCCTTGGGCTGCCACAATGGGGCATGAAGGTGCCTTGCTGCTCAGGCCACAGAGAGGGCTTTTGGGGCTCTAGGACACGTCAGGAGTCTGCCTGTGAATTGGTACGTGCTCAGCTGAACCATTGCTGCAGCAGGGAGTAATTGATGCTTCATGGCCAGAGCACCAGGGCTGTGGGAGCTTTGAAGACTGGTCCCCTTGGCAGGTAACTTTTCCAGGAGGAGAATGCTTTTTCCTGGCTGAATGCACAGGCTTGCATGTGGGCTCTGTGGGGAGCCGGCGTCCTGGTTGTGCCTCTGTGACCATTCTCTGTGTGGTCTCTCATGGCACAGCCTGATCGGCCCTCTCCCTTCTTTCTGCTTTTTTTCCCTCTCAGTGATTGCCCACCAGCTCAGTAAAGAAGCCCTGGAAAATTCCTTTTATGACTGTTTAAAATATAGCTTGTGGATTCAGGCTCTTCCCTGAATATAACTGTAAGCATTGCAAGAAGGTCTTGGAGCATCAAAATATTATGAGCAATATGAGTTGAAACAACAAGGATTGTTGCTTTCGCAGAACACTTTATTTAATCATTATTATTCCAGGCAATGAGATCAGGGAGGTCTGTTTGCTGTAACAGGACTGGCATCTTCATGGCCAGTTGTAGCAGGAGCAGCTGGTATTACAAACAAGATTGTCATGGCAATTCTGAAACAAGTTTTGACGTTCGAATATTGATAGAAGCTGCTCTTGTTGGTTGAGTCTGGATGGCTTTGCCAGCACAGAAACCACTCCCACCAGCGTCACTCGGTTTGATACTCAAGCTTGAGCTCACACTCCTGCTTCCATGTTTAGGTGCTACAGGGACTTGAGGACTGGGCTGTTAGCAGGTCTGGCAGCCTGAAATGAAAGCAGGAAGTTTTTTTCCTTCAGGAAGGGATCGTATTTATAATGGACTCTCCTTCCTACCCTCCTGCCATGGCCCCATTGCATTACGAGTACACCAGCTTTTTGGATATGATGCAATAAATGCAAACCCCATGTTACCCAAGCTATCTCCTGGCCTGCTCAGTCACGCAGACCTTTAGTGCTGGCCATTTACCCCAAAACATCCCCGCTATATCCTCGCTTTCTGCAAATCTGGGTTCTTTGAGACCTTTTTTGACTGGCCTTGTAAGTTTTGGAGCCAATTCTCTCCTCCAGAGGAGGGAGGCAGAGGTCAAGGTAGAGTGGGAATTGCACTGGTGTTCTGGGGACTGAGAAGTGTCACCCGATGACATTGAGAGGTTGGAGCCAGCCTGTTGTTACACTTGCCTTCTCGAGGTGTGCCCTTTCCCACCAAACAAGCACCACTCTCCTAGCGTTCTTGCCTTATGCAAAAGAGTAGGGACCCCACATGCAACGAGGTTGGTTTCTGCCAACCTGGTCTTGAAGTCAGTGGCTGGGTACTATCAGCAATTAGAATATCCAACAGTAGGTGTCGATGTTGCTTGCTCTTCCCAACCGTGTAGATGAAATGCTTTTCTCGCAGTGTTCCGATAACATTTCAAGGAGAACTGTGCTTGCAGGCCAGAAAGCTTAGTTGCTGCTCGTCTTTGTTTAATCACAAATAGAGATCTGAGATTAACAGGACATTTTTTGCACTTTCAAATAGAAATTGAGTGCTTCATTCTTGCTGTAGAAACATAACCAGGATAAAGGCTGAACTTTGTCCAGTTCATTTCTCCAGTTGTACAGCCCACATAAGGCAGGACTATCTTAGATTGAAAGAGGAGCTACTAAAAACTCTGTCCAAAAACTAGCCTAACCCTGCAAAATGTCGGGATGCCTATCAAACCATGAGTCATTTTGTTGATATGACAAGGAATCGCATCCCCTATAAAAGAGATCCCAGTGCCTGGGGAGAGTACTGATAAATCTATGCTTTTTTGACTACCTCAAATGTTTAAGTCACCTGCTTATATCTGTAA